GGAACTCATGGAAGCAATTGATGTGGGATTATATACAGAAGGTAGTTTACAGTCCATTGTTTGGTCAAAATTTAAAGACAGACTATTTATTTTAGGTATGATTTAATATAGTATTTTATACCTTTCTGGTCTTTTCTAGATTGTTGCTTAGTTTTCATTTCGTACTTTTAGCCTTTTTCATTACTTTAAACTGCTGCTTTTTCAATCTCGAAAAAAAGACGAAAATCCTTTTTTGTATGGCATCTATCAGTAAAAAATTTTATTAAACAGTTCATTATTGACATTGGCGATTTTTAGCTTAAATATAAATATCAAATGACTGAAAGAAGTTTTGAAGACGATAAGTGCATATCCCTTTAAACTAGCTATAAGATAAAAAGTTTATGTACGGGGTTTCGAGTATAAGTCAATATGTGAGTATTGTTTTATAAATAAAAGCACATACTACGAGAACAACAATGCCAATGGCTACATTTTTTGTCAAAAATACTACGCACGAAGTTAATGGTGATTTTCAGCTTTATTAAAGCAAAAAGAACATTGAAAAAGCAACAAATGCACAGCCCATTGTTTTCTGGTTCAAAATATATAAAAATGATGCTTTGAAAATCGCTTCAAGTGAAATTATAGGGTTCCAACTAGGCACATACTACGAGAACAATAATGGCGACATTTTTTAGTCAAAAATACTACGCACGAAGTTAATGGTGATTTTAAGCTTCATTAAAGCAAAAAGAACATTTAAAAAGCAACAAATGCACAGCCTATTGTTTTCTGGTTCGAAATATATAAAAATGATGCTTTGAAAATCGCTAAAAGTGAAGTTATAGGGTTCCTAGTAGGCACATACTACGAGAACAACAATGGCGACATTTTTTAGTCAAAAATACTACGCACGAAGTTAATGGTGATTTTAAGCTTCATTAAAGCAAAAAGAACATTAAAAAAGCAACAAATGCACAGCATATTGTTTTCTGGTTCGAAATATATAAAAATGATGCTTTGAAAATCGCTAAAAGTGAAGTTATAGGGTTCTTAGTAGGCACATACTACGAGAACAACAATGGCGACATTTTTTAGTCAAAAATACTACGCACGAAGTTAATGGTGATTTCAAGCTTCATTAAAGCAAAAAAAGTTGGAAAAAGCGATAAATGCACAGCCCGTATTATTTTCCTTTAAACCATCTACATAAAATGTCTTGTAATTTGCTAAAATTATAGTTACATGTTACAAAGTGAGGGTATAGACGTAGCCATCAATTTTGTAGTCACTGTGAAAAAAGCTTGTTTATGCTGGACTCACACATCACACGTAGTTGTAACTGCTCTAATGCACCCTCGATTCATTTTAGATGATAATGGCATTTTTCAAATGACAATTTGTAGCTTCATTCTCCAGATATAGGGTTCCCAGCAACTTCCTAATTTTACGTGCGACATTTTTGATTACATGCTTCGACAAAACTGGAATTAAATGACCTCTATATAGAATTAAAATTAAAAATGAAAACGTACTTACCTTGACAATAACTCTGTCTTAAAGATAAACTAACAATAGAATATCTAAATGACTTTTTATCCACAAAATAAACAAAAATAACGGAGGATTCGCATTGTGCTTTTTCTGAAAAAAAGACCACGGTTGCGCGGCAACCCCATGCATTGACGTGCTTAAAGCCATATCACGGATGGCACGTAACATCATAGGCGCTTTCGCTTGCGTTTCCAGTCCCTGTCTTCTGGATTGTCTATGGTCTAATCAATGTGATGCTATTGCACCTAATACGCAACATCTAGACGAACAAGACCAACTTGCTAAAAAACAGGCTAGTGAGTTGTTTGGTTGTTTTAATCCTGGAAAAAATTCAAATCACAGTCACTATGACTTGATGGATGATATTGGAATTTATCCTAGTTCAAATAATGTAGAGTTGACAACTAACCAAATGAATGAGACTGATTTTAGGAACCTGGTCAGATCTCTAAATAAGGAGAAAAGGCAGTTCTTCGATCACGTACTTCATTCTTCAAAGTAAGCGATGATCAATTATCACTCTTTTTAAGTGGTGGTGCTGAAGTGGGAAAGAGTTGGGTTACTAACGCTTTATATGAAGCAGTTACAAAGTATTTAGACCATGTTGTTGGAGAGAATCCAGATGAAGAAAAAGTCATTAAACTTGCTCCAACTGGGAAAGCTGCTTATAATATTAGAGGCAACACTGTCCATTCTGGACTTCAATTACCTGTGAACAAAGGATTTCACTATATACCCCTTGACAATGACAGACTCAATACAATTCGATCTAAGCTACGATTTCAATGGTTGGCAGTGGTATGTTCAACTTCGTCAATTTACGCTTGCAACAGATCATGGGTTCAAAAATGCCATTTGGAGGTGTAAGTATCATTGCTGTAGAGGATTTGTTTCAGCTTCAACCAGTGTTTGACAAATATATTTTTGAAAACAGCAATAAGGATTATGGCCCACTGGCTCTAAATGTTTGGCAAGAGTATTTTGAAATGTATGAGCTAACCCAAATAATGAGACAAAAAGAAGATAAGCAATTTGCAGAACTTTTAAATCGGCTTCGAGAAGGACATCATTCGCAAAATGATATTGAACAATTGAAAACTAGAATCTTGCAACCAAACTGTAGCAATTCAAATGTCACACACTTGTTTACCACTAATAAATCTGTGGCTGCTCATAATAATAAAACGTTTACGTGTTGTAATGATGATAAAGCAGAAATAGAAGCAGTGGATATTGTAGTAGGCGATATTTCTGATGATAAGAAGTAGCAATTTAAACAGAGGATCTCATCAGATTCCACTAAAACTATGGGGCTGCATTCCGTTCTCTCAGTTGGCACGTCTGCAAAATATGATCTAACCACCAACGTTTCTGTCAATGATGGAATGACAAATGGCAGTGAATGTACAATTTGTAAGATTGATTACAGAGTTTTAAGTTCAAGTAGACCGAGTATTATATGGGTTTTATTTTCAGAATCTAATATTGGACAGAATTGTCGTAACGAAAACTCACACTTGTATAACACACACGTACAAAGGCATTGGACCCCAATATTAGAGATAACTCGACAATTTAAAATTGGAAAAAGTACCAATGTAAAAGTCTTACGAAGGCAGTTCCCTCTAAGGCCAGCTGCTGCAAAAACAATTCATCGTTGTCAGGGAGACACTCTGGATGAAGCAGTTGTTGATTTCCCAAATTCAACCAGAGAGCACATGCACTATGTTGGTCTTAGTAGAGTTATAAACATTGACAAATTGCACATTTTAAATTTAAGTGAGAAAAAAATCAGAGTTAATTCTAAAGTTAAAGAAGAAATGGCCAGACTCAGATCTAAATGTAAATTAGTTCCACGTGTTCCAGATCTCACAGCAGTTTCTTACACAAAAACAATGTCAGGTCACTTCATCTTCACATCTCGGACATTTCAAATGATTTTGATATTCAAGCAACAGACATAAGTATCTTTGTTGAAACAGCTTTGTGTGCAAGAGACACAGATGAAGAGTATTCAATTGATGGATTTGATCTTTTCAGAAATGATCATATTCATTTGGAAAATAATGTTCGAACGACATATGGGACAATTACGTACCTTAAATCGACACTTGCTTACCTTGTACCACCTTTTAGTTACAACTACAATAACATGGAAATTTCTGTGACAGTTGTGAACGAGCCTGTTCCCAATCTGCATATTGTTGGCATTTACCGTTCAAGGTCGAAAGTCCAGCTTCACAAACTCATAGAGGCATTAGACTATCTTCACATGACATTACTGGTTAACAAGCCAACCATTCTCCTTGGAGATTTTAATATTGACTTATTGAAACCCTCTAATGAGCGAAAAGCTTCAATGCAAAACATGATTGAGTGTAGGGGATACTCGCAATTGATCTCACAATTTACCACAAACAATAGAACTTGCATAGATCATATTTATACTAATATCCCACATGTTTTTCATTCATCTGGCACATTGGAGTCATACTTTAGTGACCATAAACCAACTTTTGTTTGTCTTCAATTGATGCACTAGAGTTTATGAACAGCAAGACTGTAAAATGTTCACACAGCTTCAAATTTCGAGACCATTGGCATCCTGGTCCATTTTTAACATGTTTCACAACTGATATGTTTTTTTTTGTGGATTTAGACAATGGAAAACCAATGGTCATCCAGTTTTCCCTCAAATAAGAACGCTGCTGGTAAGTGCAACACTGTTAACAGTCGTATAGCCACATTATTATTAAACTAATAACAGATCGACGGAATAATCAATGATACTAACTTTTCTAATACGTTTTAAAGTTCTAAAAGTCAAAGTGTAATTTTTGTTGGTCCTGTTCCTGTATATTAACAAAAACAACTACATAAAAAATGTATACCACATTAAAATCAACTTTATTAACCATGTTCACCATATAGTAACCTCGAAGCAAAGCAAAACTGATAAGAAGCGAAGTAAACTTCGAGGCAAACCTAAACCAGCTACGGCCGTAGCACCTGAAGTTGCATCTGCACCAGATACAGCCCTCACAACTGAAGTTGCGTTTACCCAAGGAGTCGCCGTTACACCTGAAGTTGCATCTACGCCAGATCCAGCCCTCACAACTGAAGTTGCGTTTGCCCAAGAAGGAGCTTAACACCTGAAATTACATCTAAGCTAGATGCAGCCCTCGCAACTGAAGTTGCGTTTACCCAAGAAGGAGCTGTTACACCTGAAGTTGCATCTACGCCAGATGCAGCCCTCACAACTGAAGTTGCTATGGAAGAAGGTAAGTATCTATAGTCAGTATGTAGATGTATAGAATTGAGCGTTATTGGAGTAAATTATCATTTATGTACTGTAGCTAGAAAACATGTAGTTTTTCTGTACCTACGACAAAAGGTCTAACTACCTGTACTACAGATTTAAACTCATACACTTTATTAAGAGTATTGACTTATTCTCTTTTTCTTGCATTGAAGGTCCGAGCAATTTTATATCAGATGAAGCTGTCTGAATGAAATGATCTTTCACGAAAGTAAATACATGTACATCTAAAAAAAGCAGTAATTTTATTATTTTTAGTTATAGTTAACTAACTACTTATATATTGCGGTTTAATTACATTATATATTTGAAACACTTGTATTCAAACCAAGTTTATTATTAACCATAGTTTATTACTTTAAAGGTCAGAGCAATTTAACACGTAAACCTGTCGAGAATAAAGCTGCCTTAAACGAAAGTAAGTAAATTTGTTATATAGCTAGCGTGAACACCAAACGTGATTGGCTGATTTGTGGTCACGTGACTTCAGATAAATGCAATGTTTCCCGCCGGGCAACAAGTGAAAAATTGTTGCCCGCCCCGACCGGCCACGTACATAAATAAACAAAATGGAGGCAAAACTCAGATAATTAGAAACTACGATTTTCCAAGTTTGTGTTCAAATAAAGAATATAAAAGAGAAGAAAAATACACAACAGGCAACAGGATATGCTGCTGAAACCGTTTTACGTTTAAATAGGTTCTTTTAATTTTAAACTCGTTTACACTATAGAGTTTTTGTCACGAAATACAATTGTTGTATGAATGTTGTTGAAGTTGATTTTTGTTCGTCGCTATACAGTGTGTATCAAAATAATTCGAATCCAAAATAATTCGACTGCTGTTTATAAAATACTAAAGTAAACCATATAATTTTTATTTGGCAATAAAGAATAGCCTATTAGTGTATTAAGAATAGCCTATTATAACAATGGTGTAAAAACCAACCGAATTTGTCAAATATATTCTGCGTTATTACACGCCAAATTTGGATTCGAATTATTTTGATACACACTGTATAACAAAACACTTAATGCCTGTTCCCTCGGGAAATAGTCAGTTTTGTTTTCCCTCAAATCTTAATGTTTCCCTCGACTTCGTCTCGGGAAACATTGAGATTCTCGGGAAAACAAAACTAACTATTTCCCTCGGGTGCAGACATTAAGTGTATAGTGTATAACTCATAACTTACATCCATACTCTTCATATTGTAAATTCAAAAAGTCAAAACCAACGTATCAGGTGTAGAAAATGTATCGGACCATGGGGCCATTGGTCCCAGAAAATTTTTTATGTTCCCAGAAAATATTTTAAGGAATGGAATAAAATACAAAGCAAACTTGACTTACAAAGTTAAATTTTTGAGTTCTCAGAAAATATTTTAAGTTATAAACTTCTAATATTTTAACTTTTTAACTTATCAGAGAAAGATATTATATACTTTTACAGTGTGGACTGTGGACCACTGTAGTGGTAGTCATATAAAAACTGTATGTATCAGTGATGAGTCACAGGTATAAACAGGTATCAAAACAAAATTAATTAGCTCATGGCATGCTTATTACACAATAGTGTTGCAATATGGCATATTGTTGTTAATACACATGAAATACCAATGCCATACCAATGTCCCCCTACAATAGTATTACATATAATAAATCAATATCAATGACAGTACCTTTGGAAACAAATTAAATACACGTAATACTATGGATGTGTTTTATCTTTTTCACCAATAACAATGGTATAGTATCAATTTGTTATTTACAAATTGATACTACCATTGTACTGTTATTTTCGTTAAAAAACAGCAGAACATTTTTTGGTTTTACTCTGCAGTCGAAGAAAGAAAAATATTTTTTCCACCCCTGCAACGTATTTCGTATCCTGGACGTATAAAAATGTGCTGCATACTGTCTGATGTGCAAATTCAGAGCTAAGACACAAAGGTTTGTTAACTTTGACTTTTGTTTTATTCGTAAACATGCCTGTTATTGGCTACATCCATCAACTGTCGCCTGTAAAGCAAAGTCAAAACAATAACGCATATTTTGACATGAAAATGCAGACAGAAGATCCCACAGTGAGAACTGTTTGTTTCTCCCCAGAGAAACATGAGAAGTTTAAGAGAAGCTTCGAAGCCTCGTCGCCAGTAAAACTAAGTCAATTTCAACTTAAATCTAACCGTTGAACAAATGAAGAAGAAATCATCGTAAACAAGCGAACGAAGCTTGATAATCCATCTGAGTTTGAAATAACTTTTGACATTGCGGCAAAAGAATTTGATTATACCACAACGACGACCGCTGTGAGGGAAGTAAACGAAGTTAGGCCTGGAAGAGCGATCACTGTTCTTGGTCGGGTTACCTTCCAGGGTGGAACGGAATACGTAAACGTCAGAGGCAAAAGTTTGAAGAAACAAGAAACCATACTAACTGACGAAACTGGCTCAATACGTTTAGTTCTCTGGGAAAATGATATCCAGAAAGTTCAGTCAGGGGAGACATATACATGTTGACAAGATCAGTTGTGCGCGAATTCGACAACCAACCTTGCATTACCATAAACAAGGAAACCCAGATTTCTAAAGTTAGCCAAACTATTGCAAATCCTGATGATGATCTCGCTAATACCTATAAAGAATTCACCATTTCTACCCCTCCAGAAGGGATTTTGGCAACACACAGAACCCTATCCTGCAAGAAATGCGCCAACTCAATGGTTGAGCATACTGCCGGGAAGACAATAAAATGCACTGCGTGTGTCCTTATCCAGTTATTGCGTCTCTGCCAAAAAAAGGTGCATGCCAACGTCTTCTTTATCAATGAAAATGGGCAAAAGATATCTTTATTGATGAAACAACATATAATACAAGCATTGCTCGATATTCATCAAAGTGAAAGCCATGCATGGCAACGTCGTTCCTTTGGATGAAATGACAGATGAAGAACTGCAAGAAATTCTTCTAACCGTTCAAGCAAACATCACCAATAACAACAAAAATATCGCAACTAATGTGAAAAAGAACATTGGACACTGAGGCAGCATTACCGCCTGGATTTACTTAAACACTGTACATTGCCATTGGACAGCTACCTGTACCGTTGTACCAATAAGGGTGCTGTTTTATAGTTGTTCTGTTTAAATTGTTCTGTTCAACACTGTACATCGTACAGCGACGGTCATTGATGGAGCATGTACTGTATTGGTTACAGCTTTATACTTATAGCTATCATGTTTAAATTGTCCTGTCCAACACTGTAGATCGGACAGCTGCGGTCATTTGATATATTACATTGGGTACAGCTTTATACTTTTTATAGTTATCATGTTTAAATTGTTCTGTTTAACACTGTACATATCGGAAAGCCACGGTCATTGGATGCACTGATACTGACTGTATTAGGTACAGCTTTATACTTATAGTTATTCTGTTGAACACTATCACACCTGACAGCTACGGTTATTGTACTTTTATATAGATTTGCTTTGATAGTGTGTAGTTTTATAGTAATCTATTCAGATTGTTTTTTCAAGACTGTTGATATTGGTTATTGTTAAAATCGAGGATGTCGTTAAAATTAAACTGTTTAGACCTGTAAGATCTTCGGGAACATTTTATATTATGTCGTGTTTTACCAAATAATGTCCTTGCCCTTGCACGGTTCCCGTTTGTAAAAAACTGCTGTAAATCATATCCCCCTTTAATTTGATCTCATCCGTGAGTCGGCCTCGAAGACCTTTGATTTTCAATAATATAATATTGTATTCTTAAATGCACATTATTAATCATTATACGGATCGCGAGTCGAATATATAATCGCGTGTTATTGTTCCTTGGATACAAAATAGTACGCATATGTAAATATGGCGGACACAAAAGGCAGAATCAGTCCGAGCAGAATTCTATATGTAAATTATCAAAGGCAAATTAAAGCTCATTACTGTATGTCGCAGAAATACAGTTATATTAAAGGACGTTATGAAGCAATGTATTTCATTAAAAAACACCGACTCTCATAATGTACGAAATGCCATTTCAGACCCCCGGACGTTTACAAAGGTGTCATCCACATTGTCCAATCTCACTCTTAACTTCTCTGCAAAGTTGAGAGGTCTGCAATCAGTGTCCGCTATTCGTGATAGTCCACCATATTTTTGAGATCAGTGAGGATGACCACCCACTCAACACCGTTGGTGACCCACGCCCGCGATAATTGATGAACTCTAGACCCCGGGTGTAAATAGCCGGGGTGAATTAGTACTCTCGCCGCGGCTCGGGGACTAAACTTGTTGTTGACACGCCAGAAAAATTAATCCTATTTTGAAATTTATACATTTATTTAGACCTAACCAGGAGCAGCTGCGAAAAGCTATAGGCCCTCTTGCAGGAATCGGACCCGCGGTATAAAATTATGAAATTGTATATGACATTCGAAATTTCCGTCTACAAAATCTTTCACGAAAATATACCCTTTACCACCTTCAGTGTAACTATGATGACCCTTTTATCGATCGACCTTTTTATCGAATTCGGCTTCTTCGCACGTGTACTCTTCAGCATTGCATCGACGATGTTTCAGAGTATAATTATACGAATAGATCCCAACACTGTAAATTTCAAGTTAAATCAACTCCAAAAGTGTTATTCTCTCACCATTTTTGATGACAGAATAACATTTTTGGAGTTGATTCGACTCTTTGAAATTTACAGTGAATTCAAAAGTTGTATGGCAATCCTAGGATGCATGCAAACCGGAAGTATATTTATGTTCGCCGACCGCCCTATATATTTATACTGGATTGAAAGCACCGGAAATCGATACCCATGCAATTGGGATGCTTTGCAAGTGTTTTATGGCAGACTTGAAAAAAGTCGCGAAAATGCCAGAATTCTGCGATTACATAGCTTGGCTATGTATAGTAATTTCCTATATTATCTTTCAAATGCTAGGTGTAATCATCCTGCATGCATGTAAGCCTATCATGGTTTTCGGTAAGGCATGTACTCGGTTGGGGCATATGAACGGTAACCCGGAAAAAACCACTGACTTTCTACATGGCACGGATCTTGCCGTCGTCTGCAATGTAATTCTGCCTTCGTGCATTATATATCAACAAGACAACAGACTCTTATGGAAGGGAGAAGCCGACATCGCCGCCAAATTTGTAGAGAAAATATATTCGCTTTTATAAGAAATACGACTTTAGAGAAAAAATTCTAGGCTATTCCATGCAAAGAAACTCAGAAATCCCAAGATTACTGCAAATTAAGTTTAAACTTTGGCAGGACGCTAACGCTGTATTAAAAGAAATACATGCAAAAATTTGTTACAACGCCTGTAGCTACAATATAAGAGCAAATAGTCTCTTAGCAACTCGCTCATGCATATAAAGAGGCCCGACAATAGATTTAATTCGTGAACCTTGTATCAGTTCCCTTTAGAATAGGTATACCTATATGCATGAGGCATGCATGTGACATAATATTATAATGTCTCCGAATAAGGTATATCAAATAGAATATTGGCACTGCGTAATAAATACAATGTCTGTTTGCGTAATACGTTACATATAAGCAGGTATCTCCACATATGACTTGCAAGTTGTGATGTAGTTGTACTGAGCTTAAGATTGCGGAGTTTCGAGGTGGTTGGACACAAAGCTATTGGTTATCTGAAGGTATTTAAGTTCAATTTAATCTTTTCAGGTGAGCTCGGAAGGTATATATAAGTTGACTATATGCTTCTTCATGTTCGTTATATTCTATATTGTTTGGCTACAATAGCATAACAACATAGGCTTTTGGTGCCGCTACGATACTGATAGAAAGAAATGAAAATTAAAGCAGGGCTCAAACTAGGGAATTTCTTTGCAGAAAATGGCATACCTATTGTTAAAATTCAATACAACTGATACATCGGATAAATATCTTAGTTATTAGTTTCAGCCGAGAGCTCATAACTGGGTAAAATATACTGTGGCGAAATAAAATTCATTGGTTACTGCAGTCAATCAATAAGATGTGCTGTGAAACTAGGCCAAAGTCTTCGACTATAACTATTCAGTTATCGATATATTAACTTGAAGAATGGCGAAGACTATATTTTTTTGAGAATGAAACAATTGTCCAATGTCACTCGATCATGTCGAATCGCTCGACGGTTTTGCCGTTAATATAATAATTTGCAAATCCCAAATATATTTGCGCATATATGCAAATGGTCAAGTTTCCTGAACATAAAATCGTAAGCAGTTGCTCATTTTTGGTGCGTTGAACTTGACGAGTTTCCAGAAACTTGACTATATGGATGAATACATGAATGCATGCAAATTAAATTTAACAATTATATATAGAATATCATAACTGGTTACAGACAGTAAAGCCATAAAGGTACGATTTTATCACAAATATTTATATAATATATACTGTAGCTAGTCACTGCCAAAAAATCGTGGCCGTGAATACGAAAAATTTGATATATATCATCTTGTGCATTCTCACATTACGCCGAAAAAGAACGCACATGAATATACGTATGTTTGTGTAATATCATTATGGTTATATTCGAATTAAGTTGTCGAACTTAATTTTATTTTCATTTAATTTTAAGGGATTTCATGAGTTATTAAATCCAGTTTACACTTGCAATTTTTGCCGCGATTTCAAGTGCGATTTTCCTTTTCTGATGCATGTGAACGAATAAATAAGTTGTGAATGTCCTGATCATGAGTACATATCTCACTGATGTACCCTCGTCTGAACATCCATAACTCATACACTTGTTCACATCCATCAGACGAAGAAAATCGCCCCTAAAATCGCAGCAACTGAAATTGCAAGCCTGTGTAAACGGGCCTATAACAGACTGAATTACGAATGTGAGCGATGCTGATATTGGCATGCAAGTTAAAATTCGCAACTTGTATAACAAATCTGCAGCAGACTTGTGTACTATATTGCTGTTTCAACAACTCGGGCTGCTTGTTCTCAAGTTTGTTGATATGTCGTCAGGAGCTTGTTGACAACTTGCTGCAAGGTTATTGACTCGACAGACTTGCTAGCTATACAAATTGTTCAAAAAACTTGTTATAATTGTATTAATAATGTCATGTAAGTTCTTTTGCAATACGTCAGTTCAATCTAGCCTATAAGGCATTCAAGAATCTTCGTTGCCGTCTTGTTTAGTTGTTTCATATACGCAAAATACTAGAAACAAACAGTAAAATTAACAGATTTAAAAACGTTTTTATCCCATGCATCATACGTATACTGTACACTTATAAACGATCAAGACTACTCTTCAATATTGCGTACATGCTGTAGATTTTAAAAATTAGTTTTGTATTTACATACCTTAATTGCAAATTTCATATCGTATCGTGGATAAGTTATATGTTTTTATGATCTTTGGCGACTTTGCAAAATATTAACACGCCGATTCTGTCTGACTGTTAGGTGCAGTGGTGCCTAATTGACTTTGAATTTGTACTCGAGTAAAAGTAGAAGTAATTAACAATAAAACGACTTGAGTAAGAGTAAAAAGTACTGGAAGCAAAACGTACTTTGTAAAAAGTACAAAGTATCCTTAAAAAATACTTGAAGTACAAAGTAAAAGTAAAAGTACTATTGTCTGTGGCGTGTAGAGGGGGAAGGGAACTTCTCCAATGGATTAACATACAAAAGACACAAAACAACACACGCATTATATGCGTGCACCGAATATACAATGTTTCACGGCATGGTCTACTTTCCAGACCCCATTGAAGATATAAGAAATCCATTAAATAAATCATTCTTATAAGTAAATCACAAACGAGAGATCCCAGACGCATGTAGAGGTCGTATTACCTTTCCCGAAATGAAAATAAACCAGAAATAAATCACGTAAAATTAAACAAAAGTTAGAAAGTACGAAAGTAACGAAATACTTCGCCACAAAATGAAAATAACGAAGTAAAACGTTACTTCTTAAAACGACTTCGTTCCAACTAAAAGTACTCCAGAAAAAGTTTACATTGTTACATGCTCACGTCTCAAAAATAGTACTCAAGTACAATAACGAAGTACATTTACTTCGTTCCTTGACACAACTGGCTAGATGTTACTTTTTAATAAAATCTATCTATCCAACAACGTTTTAACAAGTTAATTGTGAGTGTCCATGCACGTTGTAGCAACTTGATGGAATGACAACTTTGATGCAATTTGTCGTCAAGGTTGCTACAACTAGTCTGACGCGCTCACATCTTGTTGACAAGATGTGAGCTTTATATGTGTGTACCCAGGCTCGCACGAATCAAATAAGAATTGTATATCTTTATTTTAATTCATTAAATAACTCCTTTTCTCCTAGCATGTTTGTTTAATAACAGGCCTCGTTTTCATGATTGAGGTCTTAGTTATTGAATATTGAGCTCTGTTTTCATGATTGCTGAGATAACGCATACAGAGAGTGTGCATGCATTCTTTTCTGTCTGTCTGCATGCCTTATCTGTCGATCGATGCTTTGGAGAGGAAGAGCGTGTCCGGAAGGTAAAAACTCTTATACTTGAAGTCACAGTTTCAGTAGTGTTTGTATCAGATGCAGCAGATTTAAATAGTTGGCGCAAAAATAAAAATGGCGCCAAAAGCTATTGGAAATTTTTTATTGTTGGGTTAGGTTGATTTGGCATGGATTGAGGAGGGGCTTACATGACGTATGGCTACAATCTTGGACAAATAACACTGGTTGAGACCCAGTGTAATATTCATGCCATAAAAATATATTCTGTAGCTATGTCCATTAAATTATGGATTTATTTTGATGTAACCCCCACTCCCCCAGTCCAATGTTGCTAGTATTTGATAGCCACATAACCCAGGTACATGTTTTCGTCCAAGCAACATTGAATCAGGGGGGAGAGGGGGCTCAAAACCATGGAAATTTTAAACACTCATGAACATGACATTTGATCTCATATTTGTCTTAAGTGTATTGTCCAATTAGATTGTAGCTTGTAGCCATAAATGGTACGGACGTTGCAAATGCGATATCATAATATCATGAAAATCAGAGTAAAAGTTGAAACTATAAAGTGCATATTATATTAGACATTATGCATAATCTATCACATTAGGTCAAAGTTTATAAAAAATTCAAAATGACTGTATTTTTCAGATTTTCGGATTTTGGCAAGATGTATTACCTATTTTTGCCATGTAAGCAGCCACGAAAAAAGGCTTTATTATATCTCAGCTCGCCTCCAGACATGTTAGAATAATTTTAGTATTTCTCCGAGTAATATATTGTACAAGTTTACCTGTATAGAATGGTGGAAGCACGTTGTTAATGAACAGAGGCGTAGGAAGCATAAAAAGATTAGGGGAGAGGGGAGGGGGGGGGACGTGGTACCTGCATGGTTGGGCGGGGGGAGAGAAACTTTTTCCGGTCATACTGTACTGAATTGCAACGTACAATGAACGGTTTTGACAAACTTTTTTTAAAACATCGGAATTTCCAAACAAAAAGGGTGCCAGCGACATTAGCTTATACAAAGGGCACATTTCATCACAAAAAAGGGCACTTTCGGTTCTTTGAAAATAATTTGTCCCCTGTTGCCCCCCCCCCCGGTTCCTAGGCCCCTGCCAATGAAGAACATTTCAATGTTAAAACAAAGTATGTAGCAATTATTAAACAATGTCTTAACTAAGTGACAACAATTCTCATTGTTCTTTACCTGTAGGCAATGAACGCTCTTCTCCTCATTAGCATTTTCGTAACTATCAGGGTCACAACTTTCGCTGGTAAGAATATGTTTATCTACATTGGTTGACGTTAGCTATGCTTGGCAGTGGTGAGCTGCCATTATAGACTAATTTTAAAACTAGGCAAGGAGATGCAAATTAATCACCACAGCTAGAAAGAGCATACTGAATTTAGTAAAATTGCAAAGTTTGGTTGCGAAATGTTGTAAAATGCGGAAAATATAGCCTTGCAAAGTTTGCAAATATTGTAGCCCGCGTGCAGGCCCAACGAGGGAAGAATAGTGGCCTGCAAGGCAGCATTCTGATTGGCTGGTATGCTGTTGAATTATATAATTAGATCAGTGATTGATCACAAAGGTTCTCGATAAGTTTAAAATTGGATCTCATCACTTTTTTCGAATAAAAATGGAACATGAAGAGACTGTTTCTTGTTTACTTGAAGGAAGAGATGTTTTTGCCTGATGAAGTGTTCGAATAGCAACTTTACCACTGGGGTAAACTATAAAAACCTTTACTCGAGTTTCATTGATTTCAAACCGATTTGATACGTTTAATATATGTTCTTCAAGAAAATTATCTTTTGGTTGATGTTGACTCTGTTCTTGCATTGAAGAAAACAGCGCTTTTCGTGGCGAAGGTTTAGAGGCAGTTGCATGCCTATTCGAAACACTGCAAGTGCGATTTGCAGGGCTTCTCTGACAGGGCGAAACAGAACACGGTAATTGCCGTTTGAAACGATCTGGACTTTAACTGAAATAAATTTCGTACTTTCCGCCCCCAAGAATTGCACACACGATCTGATAAGTGAGACAATTTACTTATAACAACGGCGATAGAAACACACATTTAAAGCTACAAAACACCCGGTCTACCTTGCAGGCCCACTATTCTTCCCTCGGTGGGCCTGCACGCGGGCTACAAATTTTGTATACTTTTGTGTTGCGTGTAGCCTGCATGGCAGGCGTTCCCTAAAATCGGGCAAGACGGCCTGCCATGCAGGCTATGTTGCGTGCGGAAATTCCTGCCACATTCCTACCACCTTTGGGCCCAAATGTGGTAGGAATTTTCGCCCGCAATACAAAAGCATACAAAATTTGCAAACTTGCAAGGCTATATTCTCCGCATTTTACAACATTTCGCACCAAACTTTGCAATTTTACTTTAGTATGCTCTTTCTAGCTGCGGTGATTTATTTGCATCTCCTAACCTAGCTTTAAAATTAGTCTATAATGGGAATTGTCTATTGGCATGGCAATAAATTTTCATTATTACATGATAACATAATATACGGAACAGTGTTGCAAGGAATTATTATTACTCGATCTTGTTTGACTGACATGCATTTTTTCAAATTTTTAGAAAGCTCTAAAATTAACTGGAGTTTTCATGGACGAAATGGTAATATGCACATCCTATAAAACATCTTATACGTATACGTGTCTAAATTAACCAGACAGCACAATACAGAACAGTACTGCAGTATAACTCTTTCATTCTTCCGACTGTCCAATATGACAAAATATAAAGTCTAGACTTCAATTGAAGTCGAGACTTGATAGTTTGCCATATTAGACGAAAATGTTTTCTTATATCGAAAAAATAAATTCTATAACAAAAAAATGATTGTCTTTGTATAAGCGATAATAGTACAGCGAGAATAATACAACAGTCAACATTTATCACATGCGCATCGGCGGCGAATTTCAGAATTTGCCGTCAAATAACTCAAGCAAAAAAGTTAATATCCTAGTAATTTTTAATGGAACAAGTGCTCATGAAATTATGAAAAACTTAATTCCATACATTATAAGTATGTTTTAAAGGTTATTTGACTGAATTTTAAACTGGTAGGAAAAACCATCTGAAATCTTTTTCATTACTTTGCCATATCGCTTATTGTGTGTTTGAAGTTGACTAAACATCTGGAAAGGTTTGTTGTGCATGTGTTTGAAATTGACAAAATATCTTAAAAAGGTAGATAAACTGCAGGAAAAAGCCACGATAATCTACTGTCCAGTACGCTCCAGACCTGTTCTTCATCGTAAAATGTCGGACAGGCACGTGACCCTTTTTTTGAACAGTCTCTGCCATTGTAAGTTGTGCCAATAATATATAACAAGCTTTCGTTGGTAGGGATGCAACTACCTGAAAAATACAAAGCGAAATTAGTCGACGTTTCGAGCGTAAGCCCCTAGTCGGGAAGTTAGTAGACGTGACCCTATGGAAGACTCGTGTTTGGTCAATTGCATGTCAGCTTAGCTAATAACAATACAGAATAATACACTACAGAGTTTTCTGTATACCATCAAGAGAATATGATACCAGTCGATGAATAGACCTTTATTAATATAGGATTTGTGCACTTTCGTGTACTTTCATATAATGTAGGATCTGATGTACTAACTACTTAATATCGAAGAGCCGTGTCTTTGAAATGTCTCTTATAGAGCAAATAAATTCTTTTCCCTTCCTTTAAACAGGTCCCTCTCATTGGTCAAAATCCTACCCGATATGCAGCAATAAGCGTCAATCTCCCATCAACATTCCTCTCTTCAAGAAAGATTTCCAACCATCACTCAAAGCTTCTCTTAAGTTCTCTCACTATACCTGTCCATGTCGTGGAGATTTCGTAATGCGGAACAATGGAAAAACTTTGCAAATAGACGTAAGAAATGCTATAGCTTCGTTAACTTTGAATCGTGAAAGACGTTACATGTTGGATCATCTTCACTTTCACTGGGGAAGTAATAATCAGATTGGATCTGAACATCATTTTGAAGGAAGAAGTTTTCCTGCTGAGGTCAGTTAAGACATAGTTCATAAAATGTAAATTTGCAATTGTATTTGTAAATATTTATTGTTCAGGCTGTACAATGGTACGTTCATTATTTTCAGCAGGGTAGAAGTGTACAAGATTTAGAATTGTATAATTATAATTTTATGTGGAAATTACATTTAAATGGTAAAATCTCCTCTATCTTTTCTCGAATCAAATTTTGCTTCCCTGTTGGGTCATGATCAACTCTTTCAGTGTTCTTCACAGTACACAGCCACATATAATATAATGATAAGCTCTCATATTTTTTTTTCACTTTTAATCATGAAATAAGGATTCACTCCTTCATTTAACCTTTGTCAATCCTATAACCTCTTGAACTACGTTATATTATTTCAGCTCCACTTCGTGCACTATAACATAGAGTTTCACAATCTGTCTGTTGCTATTGATAAAGCCAACGCTCTTGCTGTCCTCGGAGTCATGATACAGGTTTGCTAAAGATTTTAGGTAATAAAGGTTAATTAATGCATAAATAACAAAGCATGAGCTACAAGCTATGTCAAACTAGGTTTCCGTTTCGTCATTTAAGCCAGGTACGTTTCCGTTTTGTCCTGACGAAGTCATATCCGACCATAGGGCAGATAGTATTGGTTTTTTGTGTGGCTGTTTTGCGTCGTTTTTTTGTGTGGCTGATGCCGGAAAAGGCTGCATGAAAATTAGATGTAAATTGACCAATTCAGACCACATATGCATGCACGAGTAAATTTTTCAAAGAACATCAAAATAGCACGCAGGGCCGTAGCGTCCACGGGTGTGTGTGTAGGGGAGTGCAACATCCCTCCCCCTAATAATTGCTCATGAGCAATTTCAGGTAGATTTCCAGTAGATTTTTCGGTAAATTCATGCAGGTAGATTTCCACTAGATTTTTCGGTAAATTCAGGTAATTCTCAGGCATAAGAAAGTGAATTGGGAAAAATAACTATATAATTATGTGGAAAAATCTTTTTGTATTTTCGTAAAAATTAAGATATCTACAGTAAAATTTTTGTATTTTGGGAAAAATTCTGATAAGTCCGGAAAAATTTTTGTCAACGTTGTCCCCAGGGCCTTGCGAAAATAACGAAATCATCGGAAAATTTTTGGTATGTAGTTTTGCGACGTCCCCACCCCGAAATTTTCTTGGCATGCATGCTTCGCAAAGAAGGACTTGTCTTTCAAACGCTTCTTATTTTAGGTTGGAAAGAGGAATTCAGCATTTGACAAATTTTTAAAGTATCTTCACAGAGTTAAAGACATAGGTAAGACTTTTACATTAATAAAGTAACAGTTCAAATACGAGAATGGACAAGTTACCGGGACTCGACATTGCACCCGGACTTTACAATCCGGACATTTCCGATAAAGTCCGAAGTTGAATTATCTTATGAAACGCAGAAATTTACATAGTTTCAAAGTACTCAACGTATTTTTTCAAAGTACTACTAGTACAGTAATCTGAAAGTATATAGATTCGACTCAACGTATTTTTTCAAAGTACTACTAGTACAGTAATCTGAAAGTATATAGATTCGATCTGATTTAAAGTTACTACTATACTTAAGAAAAATTTCAAAGTGTCCTGTAGGACGTCTTCCTCCAATTTCAAAACACTAATTGACCTTTTGTTTTTGGTTAACGAATTTTAAAAACGAGTCTGAGAAACATGAAATCAAAACTACATTGTACTATACGTCACACAGCAGCTAATTCTAAGCGAAAAAGTTTATTGTGCGCTCTTGTCTTTGTGCAGGTCAAGGATTTAAAATTCCAGCATTTGACGTTAAATCTCTGCTACCAAAGGACACTGGGAAGTTCTACCGTTATGAAGGATCATTGACAACACCACCTTGCTTTGATAATGTCACTTGGACTGTGTTGTACGACCCAGTTGAAATATCACACCAACAGGTAAAATTTTCAGCTGGATTGTAGACAAACTCACAATCCGAGTGTTGTTTTGCGATAAATGTATTTCTAACTAAAAAACTTTTACAACAACAACATGTTATATGTCATGCAAATTTGAATAAATCTAAATAACCTAAATTATATCTATTGTCCTAAATTGAATATAAACCAACTAATGTCAAAAACACTATTAATTAACGACCTATTAATGACACTCCCACTTTTTTGACATTTTTAAATGTTATACAATAAGTTCTAGTCCAAGAGCATATCGGAGTTTCACGAACAGAGATTTCGATAACGGTTTCGTTAGAATGTCTGCGACCATTTCACTTGTTGGAACGTACTCGAGAGCAATAACTCCACTTTGCAGCTCCTCACGAATAAAATGATAGCGTGTATCAATGTGCTTGGTTCTTGCATGCGATACAGGATTCTTGGCTATCGAAATAGCTGCTTGGTTGTCTTCGTAGATCACAGTTGCTTCAGCTAACGGTTGACCAATATCACCAAGTAACTGACGAAGCCATATTGTTTCTTGCGTAGCGAAACTCAAGGCGACATACTCTGGCTCTGCTGTCGACAGTGCAACTGTCGGTTGCTTCTTACTCAACCAGCTTACTGCTCCACTTGCCATAATTAATGCATTACCACTAGTAGAATGTCGGTCATCAAGGTCACCTGCCCAATCAGCATCGGAGTAGACCGTTAAACTTTTGTTAGTGGATCCATCGTACTTCAAGCCAAGATTTTCAGTTCCTTTTAAATATCGTAGAACTCGTTTAGCAGCAGTTAGATGTGCTTCCGACGGTTTAGCACAAAATTTTGACAAAACTCCCACTGCATATGCAATATCTGGACGAGTGGCGACTGCAAGGTAAAGTAAACTTCCGATGATGGACTGGTATTGCGTTGGATCAACTGGTTTACTGACTCTGTCTTCTTTGATTAACTTGACATTCACGTCAGCAGGCGTTGCGACCGTTTTAGCTTCAGCTTGTCCAAACTTTGCGACTATTTTGTTAATGTACTGTCTCTGGTGTAGCCATAGTCGGTTATTCTGTTTATCCTGGACAACGCTGACTCCGACATAATACTGTGGCTCTCCCATATCTGTCATCTTAAACTCCACCTTTAGGACTCTCTTCTTTTCTTCCATTTCTTGGACATTCTCCGCCAATATGATCAGATCATCTACATGAACTGCAATGATAATCAGTGTGTCTTCCTTCTTTACGTAAACGCATGGATCTGCAGAAACTTTAGTGAAACCAAGCTTCTCCAGTTTTTCTTGTAGGGCTCTGTTCCAGCATCTTGGAGACTGTTTCAAACCATAAAGCGACTTTTCAAGCTTGCATACCAAGTGCTCTTTTCCAGATTGAACATATCCCTCCGGTTGTCGCATGTAGATATCCTCATCTAACCGACCGTTAAGAAAAGCAGTAACAACGTCCATTTGATGAATAACCATGTTGTTCTGGACTGCAAATGCGAGCAATGTTCGTATCGACGAAAAGCGTACTACAGGTGAAAACGTTTCATCGTAATCAATTCCGTACTTCTGGGCATATCCTTTGGCAACTAGTCGCGCTTTGAAACGATTTACTCTTCCATCAGAATCGTGCTTCGCTCTGAATACCCATCTGTAACCAATAGCTGTTCGACCAGGTGGCAACTGTACAAGTCTCCAGGTCTTGTTTTCCATCAGTGAATTGTATTCTGAGTCAGCAGCAGCCATCCATTCTTTCGAGTGTTGGTTTTCTTTAGCTTCGCTCATGGACGAGGGTTCTTCTATCTCACATACATTGTAAGCGACATGACGTGCGGGATGTACAGGACTAGCAGTCTCTGCATACTCGTCGTATCCATATCTGACAGGGGCTTTCCGTGTTCTACCAGAAGTCCTTGGTTCTGTGGATACTTCTTCTCCCACTTTTTCTTCTTCGAATTCCACCGTTTCTTCTTTCACGTCTTCTGTCGTTTGATCTTGAGATTTTGTCGTCATCATTTCATCCTTGTCGCCAAAATCGTTTTCATTGAACTCGACATCCCTTCGGACGACCATCTTTCGCTTGATTTCATCGAACAAACGGTATCCTTTTGACGTACGACAATAACCAACAAAGCGTAGTCTTTCCGCTTTCTTGTCCAATTTTTGTCGTTTGCTGTCTGGAACATGGGCGAAGGCCATACACCCAAACACACGGAAATGACTGACGTTCGGTTTTCTTTCATACCATCGCTCGTACGGCGTTGTATTCCCTTTGATTGCTGTCGTAGGCATTCGATTTCTCACATAAACAGCCGTGGAAATGGCTTCAGCCCAGTACATCTTAGGTAATCTTGCTTGTGCGATCATCGACCGAGCAGACTCGACCAACGTTCTATTCATACGTTCAGCGACACCATTTTGCTGAGGAGAATATGGAACAGTTAATTCATGCTTAATACTTTTCGCTTTGAGATAGTCTTGAAATTCTGTGGAAAGATACTCGCCATCATTATCAGTTCGCAATATTCCTATCGATCTTCCAGCCTCGTTCGTTGCTGCAGCCTCAAACTCTTTAAATTTCTCCAGAACTTCTAACTTCTGCTTCATAAAGTACACTGCACAACATCGAGAGTAATCATCAGTGAACGTCACGAAATATCTTGCTCCGCCAAATGACTCTGTTTGCATTGGACCACACACATCGCTATGTACTAGCTGTAGCTTGTGAGATGAACGAATTTCTTCCCGAGCAAGAAATGGCTTTCGATGCATTTTTCCAGCCAAACATGCTTCGCAGAACGAAAGTTTGTCAACGTTTTCACAACAAATTCCTTTCACAATATTATTCTTAATGCAACTATTTAGTCGTTGCTCGTGTACGTGTCCCAACCGTTGATGCCAAAGATCACTACTTTCCAGTGAAGCTAACGTAGCGTGCAGTGGCGTGCTGGCAGGGGGGGCCGGGGGGCCGGGGGGCCACGGCCCCCCCAGCTGGCAATTCTTGGGGGGCGCAAAAATGAAAATGGGGCGCCGAATTTTGAAAGTGGGTGGGCAAAAACACATTCTCGAAAAAATATGGTTACTTCCGCCAAGAAAAGACGTGTTTATAGGCTACAGTATAAAACAGACTAAGCGCATAGGCGACATATAGTAAATTACAGACTATTTTGCCTAACCGTATTTGCTACCTCACAGCTCACACGAAATCGTTCATATAAAAACATGATCAGTGATCACAGGCAATGTCTCATTACCGGAATATTGGTCAGGTTTCGATCGAAGCGATCACAGGAATTATGCCCTTTTTTGCTGGTATTATGCCCTTATAATATGCCCTTTATTATGCTTTACGAATCACGAGGGCGGCGCAAATTAGATAGTTGAAGTTATGATAACTGATGTAAAGTTGTGTACGCAATTTAGTTGTTTGCACAAGAAGCATGAGTAATGTAAATAATGAAATAATGCTGAAACATGCCCTTTGGGCAGCCAGGCAAAGAAACCTTAAAATGCATATGCGTGGGGTGCGTGTGTTATTGTATAAAAGAACTTTAAGTTGTTATTGTGCTCAGAACAGTAGATCAGTAGAGAACAGAATTGGGATTAAATTAATCGCTGGAAGTAGTTAGCATTGCATAATTTAAGTACTACAACTAAATTCTAACCAAATTGCAAATTTCGACACGTCATAATGCCGTTTCCTGACCATCAGATTTCTGTCAAACCTTCCCCCAAAGTCCAGGAAATGGCATTTCAGAGACTCTAAATTCAAAAATTTTCCTGGGGGGCATGCCCCCGGACCCCCCTAGACAAACCTCGCACCGGCCTGCGGCACTCGGCTCGTGCCTTCGGCCTCGTTTATCAAGTGTAACATTATAGGGGCGCATATTGGTTGACAGCCCACTGGCCCCTCCAGAAAAATAGTACCCAGCACGCCACTGGTAGCGTGTCCGTTTGAGACGTCTTTGCAATCCAACTTGTACAACTTGTTGGCTAATGATCCCATTCCTCGTAGTCTCCCACTGGCATCACTTATCCAGCATTTATCACCACGAAACTTCACCACATTACCTTTCGCAACGGCAGCTCGAACGGAAAACAGGTTAGAGGTAAGCTTTGCAACATACAACACATTACACAGTATACCTCGCTTCGACTTGCTCCCAGAGAACAACATATCCATATGCACGTTACCAGATCCCAACGCTTGTACAACGCGGCCATCTCCCAAGGCAACGCTTTCGGGTTCCCCAAACTGTTGATAATTCACCAGAACACTTTTGCCCTTCGTCATATGACTTGAAGCTCCAGAATCGATCAACCAATGACAATCAGAAAGCTTTGCATTTCCCTCGGAGACTGTAAATACACAAGCATCAATTTCAGATTCACTATCAGAGTTTTGGGTCTTTCCGACTTTTGCTCCATGTCCTGATTTATACACTGGTTTTGAATATCTCGCTTTTTCCTGAGGGCAATTTCGACGAATATGGCCAACAGTTCCACACTTAAAACACTTCCGACTTTCCTGAAAATTTTTCTTTCGGTTTCCCATTAAGGCAGACTCATTCTTAACTGACTCGTTCTTAGGTCCTTGCTTCGATTCTTCATGCATAAGAGCTTGTTGAACGAAGTCCATTTTCACATCACCAACTCTGGCTTCTAAGGCGGTTACAAGAGTTGCATAACTTCTCGGCAAACTTCCTAATAAAGTCACAACTTGATCCTCTTCAGAGATAGGTGCACCGATAGCTGCCAATTTATCCGCGATGTCCTTCATGTGTTTCAAATGTTTCTCCATAGAAGTTCCTTCTTTCATCTCTGTTCGGAAATACTTTTTCTTTAAAAACAGTTTGTTCGCTAACGTATCTCGCTCAAAATGATTCTTTAGTGCATCCCACGCTTGCTTCGGATTTTCACATGAGCTAACCAAATATAGCTGAGCTGATTTTTAAATCAGCAATTAAAATTGCTAAAACAATTGTTGAGAACGCCCTTTGCGCTTTCCAACGAAATTGTGCCGCCGTTTCTCCCGAAGCTGACCCTGCTAGCTCTTCCGAACCGTCTACGAAACCCCACGTGCACAGCTCTTTCGCCAACAGCAAATGCTTCATTTGAAACTTCCAAGTACTCCAATTGCTCCCGTCTAACTTGTCGATTGACCATTTTTCCTCCATTAGTCGTCAACAGACCAGCACGAGTTATTATTACAAGCGTTATTTGTTCAGCAAACTGAAGTTCTATCGAAAAACCGGCGACGTCGTAGGATTGTTAAACGATCCTAACAGCATGTTCTGGGCCCATAACCTGTAGACAAACTCACAATCCGAGTGTTGTTTTGCGATAAATGTATTTCTAACTAAAAAACTTTTACAACAACAACATGTTATATGTCATGCAAATTTGAATAAATCTAAATAACCTAAATTATCTATTGTCCTAAATTGAATATAAACCAACTAATGTCCAAAACACTATTAATTAACGACCTATTAATGACATGGATTGTTAGCGTGGCTGATAGCAGATAATAGGCCGATAGGCGTACGGGTGGGGAGCAGGGGACAGCTGCCTCCAGTCGAAATGAACTCGGGCAAATTATAAATCAGTAACCCGATAATTGTTTCTATTTTTACCATCTCGATAATTACACTCGCCCTACGTCATAGTATTGAGTACTCTGGCCTAGCTAGAGTTGGTCCATAGAAACTTAAAATTTCTGTTTAAAAATTTTATTAATTGATACTAATTTTTTCGTGAAACTATTTTACGTGTTAATTGATCTGTATAATTAGATAATCATCCTTAACCTGACGCATCTGTACTGCATAATTTTAAAAGTTCTTTAGAAGTTATGGGTCAAATATAGGCTATGAAGGGTGCCACGTTATATATACGTGGTACGAAACTATGAATAGTGATCCTATATGTTGAAAATTGTGATATTCACCGCTTCTGACGCTTTGTTCGTTATGCTAAATACAGGAGGAATTTCCGGAAGTTAATTGTTTATGCTGGACTTTAAACTTCCAAGGGTCGGTAACGCTGATCTATATATAACATGCACTTGCTTTATTGATTAACTCTTTGATCAATCTGGAGGAAGCTGATAAGAGACATGTCAATCAAAGTGTTGCGCCTGGTTACTTATGGCTATTTATAAAGACTTTTGGAAGTCTAATTAACACTAGAAATAGCCATCCTCTTCCGCAGGCATGTCGTGTTTCACTTGCCCGCAAACAAATTCGGTCCGCCAATCTAAAGGCGATGCCTGCGGAGGAGGCTTGGAATCGCACAAATTGCACGCCCTGTTTATTAATACCCACATTTTCCGGCTTCACAATTTCGGCGCGAAACGCAAACGAAAATGCTGCAAACGAAACAAGTCGACTTCTCTCTCGCGAATTCATCAGTCGAGTTTGCCAGTTTTGCTTGTGATTTCATTTCTCAACCAAGCTAGGTTAGTAGTAAGAGGTCGACTTGGAGCAAGTCTATAGCTAGAGCAAGGCTTAATAATTGTTCATTTCATTTATGTGTGAACCAACTTCAACAACTGTGCTATTATTTATTTAAAAGATGTAAAAGACATGTAAACTTGAGTCTAAAAATTCTTTCTATTGGCAGAAAATAGTCAATGCTTTCTTTGAGGAAATATTTGTCAAAAATATTTCAGTGCATGCCCATCGCAGTTTTGCGTTGTATTCATTTTTATAAAATCCTAACGTCTGGAAGCGGCCGAAAGAGAAGCCATTTTGTTTTTGTAGTAATGCCACATTGTATTATTGGAATGACGTCATAATGTTGAATACTCTTTTCCGTATATTTCGACCCCGGTCCCGGTTGGTCCGTTGACGTAATCGTGCAGTAATTTTTACCATTGGTTAGACATTCATACGACGAAATCACCAGAAATCGATTAAAATTAATAAATTGCCATTAACGTAGTGTAACAGGAAATGGGAATATTCAATATGGTAAATACTGAATATTTACAGGATAAATAGTATCCGCCTCAGGTTCTGCCTTTGACATAAGCATTGACCTTAGTCTGGACGATTACCGAATATTATGCTCAACCAATAATGTTTAATTCTATCTCAGAAAAGGAGCAAAATAATATATAATTAAGACACCCTTACCATAATATTTCTCCTTATTTTGTATAGCTTGAAAAATTCCGTGCATTGAGAGATAATCTGGGGCATGCCTTGGTGAACAACTTCCGTCCAGTTCAAGAACTCAATGGTCGCAGTGTATCAAGCAGCTTCCGATTATTTAATCGAATACATTAGGAGGTATACACCTGGGGCTTCAAAAAACAAGATTGCTTTGCCAAAATGTATAGCGTCCAATAAGCAATATGTATCGAATTCGCGCATTTACTTGCATATGGTTTTTTATAGCTTTGGGATTGTCGAATACTAATAAATGGAATAAAAAAAATACTGAACAAAAATCTTCTTGTGTAATACTTGTAATAAACAGTGTTACGCCATTAACGTTGAACTTACAATGGATATATTTATCGAATATAAACGTAATGACATGTTATGTCTAGACGTACAATTGGGGGGGGGGGGTGTCCAACTTGTCAATGTCAATGTATTACATCCCCCTTCTTCATATTAATATAACTTTAATATGAACTGTTCGAATAATCGTGTCCGTATTTATCTATAGATAATAATAGTCCAGTTACTATAGGCAGGATAAGTTGCAAGTATCTCAGAAAGTTTGATTAAATCTATTTCATTTCATGACATAGTCTCTGTATTTTACTGGTAGCGCTGTGGTTCTCATTGGTCGTCCCTGATCAGGTGGATTCTGGAGGTCTAATCTGGTGGTTGTGGAATAATGGTCGGTTGTTCTTCACCAACATCCTCAGTTTGCTCTATTATGGTTGAGGGCGGAATGTTGGTCTTTAAAAGGTCACGACGGTTTCGTCTGTATTGTTGTCCATCTGATGTTGCGGCGATATACGATCTTGGGGCAGATATGTGATCTTGGGCCAGTCCAGATACGGTGGCTGGTACCCAGATACTGTCCTGGCATAGGTGGATGCTTTCTCCAATTTCAAGTGGTGGTAATGGTTTGGTTGATTTGTCGTAGTTCTGCTTCTGCTGGTTCTGTCGTTGTTCAAGCTGCTGCTGCATGTGCATTGATTGGCACTGCTGGTAGTAGTAACTCTTTGGATATATCGGAATCTTCGTTCTTGTTGTGCGGCTCATCAGCAGTTGTGATGGGGAGTATGTCATTCCGGTAACAGTCGTGTTACGGTGCTCCATCAAACCAACGTATGGATCGTCAGCCTTCTTCAGGATCCGTTTTACGGTTTGTACAGCTTTTTCACTCATGCCGTTTGATTGAGCATAGGTTGGGCTTGATGTTGTTTGTTTGAATCCCCATTCTCTGGCGAATTCGTCAAACTCTTTGCTATTGAAGGGCATGTTGTCGGATACCAACTCTTCTGGGATTCCATGTCTGGAAAAAATTGATTTGAAGTGTCTAATTACTGTTCCTGCTGTCTTGTTTGGAAGAAGGGCTGTTTCGATGAACTTCGAATAGTAATCTACTACAACGAGGTAATTCTTGCCCTTACATTCACGCAGATCAGTTCCTAGCTTTTGCCATGGCCGTTCAGGTATTTGGTGTGCTATCATCGGTTCCTTCTGGTTTCTTCTTCTATATGTGGCGCAAGTAGCACATTTTGATACTTTCTCGTAGATATCTTTCGACATTACAGGCCAAAAAAGGATTGCTCTTGCGCGTGCTTTGCATTTCTCTAACCCGAGATGACTTTCATGTATCAGGTTGAGCATATTGCTTCTCATTGCTGTAGGTATGACTAAGTGGTGATATTTGGAGATCAGACCTTCTGCTTCACTCAGCTCATGGCGAATGTTCCAGTAGGTAGCTAAGTTTTGCGGGATTTCATGCTTGCGATCAGGCCAACCTTGAACCATCTGCTGTTTAAGTTGTTGTAGCGTTTCATCATTCGCTGTTTCTTCCTCAAGCTCTGCCATTTTCTCAGGAGATGCTGGTATTGCTGTAACCATGCATGCTGTGCACCATTACTTCAATGTCCTCATTAAGTTCCTGTTGTTCTCCTTCTTCTGGTAAGTACGCTCTAGACAAAGTGTCGGCGATGAACAGGAATTTCCTGAGAACATATTTTACTGTTGGGTGACACTTTTGTAGTCGGATGAGAAGACGCTGAATTCGCGGTGGTGCTTGTGATAATGGTTTAGCTATGATAGCTTCCAACGGCTTGTGGTCGCTGTGTACTGTGACTTGTGTCCCATAAATGAATTGGTCGAAACGTTCACATGCGAATACGATTGCGAGCAGCTCTTTCTCTATCTGAGTATAGTGCTGCTCAGCATTGGTGAGTGATCGGGATGCATAAATTACTGGGTGTCCTTCCTAAATTAAACATGCACCCAGTCCACCTTGTGACGCATCAACTTGGAGGGTAACAGGCTTATCGATGTCGTAGAAGTGCAAAACTGGACTGCTTGTGAGGACTTTCTTGATTCTTTCGAGTGCTTTCTGGTGTTCGTTGTGCCAGGACCATTGTATGTCTTTCTTGAGAAGGGTACGCAGTGGCGCAGTGATCTCAGACATGTTGGGTATATACTGTGAAAGATAGTTCACCATTCCTAATAGGCGTTGTAAATCTTGCTTGCCCTTTGGTAGAGGCATTTCGACAATGGCTTTAATCTTCTCAGGATCAAGAGTTAATCCTTTAGCACAAACGATGTTGCCAAGATATTTCACTTCAGTGACTCGTAGTTGGATCTTCTTCTTGTTGAATTTTATGTTTCGTTCTCTTGCTCGATGTAGGACTTTCTCTAGAGCTATGTCATGCTCTTCTGTGTTGGCACCTGAGACTATGATGTCATCATGTACTGCTAGTGCACCAAGGATGTCAGAAAATTCATCATCTACCATTTTCTGCGCTACATCCGATGCAGAACATATGCCAAAAGGCATGCGATTGAACTTGTATCGGCCGAACGGTGTGTTGAATGCATACAGATAGGATGACTCTTCATCAAGCTTTTTGTGCCAGTAGCAGTTGGACATGTCAATTACGGTGAATACTTTCTTTCCACTCAGGTTAGACTGCGAGCGGTCCCTCCTTTCCGCGGGTTTAGATTTCCGGGCACGAGATTTCCGGGCACGAGAAAGGAAAGGAGGGACTGCAGACAACACAGTAAGAAATGAAATCCCCGTTGCCCACACAACGGAAAATTCCCATTGGTCGAAATCGATACGCCTGTCAATCAAATCTGATATGTAATAATTATGCTATAAATAATTTCCAGAGTGAATGTTGATTTTATACAGGGTGTGTCAAAATAAAAGTAATCGAACGTCAGCGCGCTATTGTGTCTGAATTACTGCGTATGAACGAGATATTTTCATCGGAAAGACCAGGCTTTTAGCTGTTGAATGATATGTTCTTCATGCCAAATGGATAAAAATAAGCAAGTACGAGTCTGATAAAAAATGCTAGTCAGATCACATATTTTCACCGTTGTAATATGCAATTCTGACTAACATTTTTTATCGGACTCGTACTTGCTTATTTTTTCTCCATTTGGCATGAAAACATGTCATTCAACAGCTAAAAGCCTCATCTTTTCGAATATGAAGAAAAAAATGTTCATACGCGGAGTAATTCACGTACAATAGCGCGCTGAAGTTCGATTACCTTTTTCTATATACCCTGTAAATAAACATGACATTAACGGTTTCCTATTGGATAGATTTAATTGGATATAGTAATGTTTATGCAAAGGCGGAGCCAATTTGACAAGAGCGAAAAGTGGGCGTATTTCATTTCTTGCTGTGTTGTCTGCAGTCCCTTATTTCTTCGAGGGACCACTCGCGGTCTACACTCAGGTGAGTTGAGATGGATTCAGCGGACGGTGCTTTGTAATGTCCTCTTTTTATTGAGTTATTAAGATCGTTCGGGTCTAAACACAGTCCCAGTGGTTGAATTGTTGCTTTGGCATTTTCTTGTAACTCGATGTGATATTCTCCTTCGACGAGACCCAAACCAGTGAATACATCTTTGTAGTCCTTGATGATGTCTGCTTTCTTTTCCTGGATTTCACTGATTTGATTTATGCTAATTAGTTCAAGATTCTGACATGTTTACAAACCAATCAGTGCTTTTGCATTGGGAGCATTGACAACAAAGAACTCGACTTCCGTTTTCCGGTCTGCAGTTTGCTCGATTTCTAAAACGCATTTTCCTTTCACCGGAACCTGTGCTCCTCCATATGCTGTTAGTTTTGTCCCAGTAGCGATGAGTTGTGGTTTCTGCTTAATTATTAATTCCGTCGAAAATTTCCTCGGGTAGCACATTGCACTGAGCGCCAGTGTCTATTTTGAAATTTGCATTTTGCCGTTAACCTTGACTCTTGAGGTTAGTTATTAATACATTTTTGGCGGTTGTTGTCGTAATTTCTCCGATAAACAACGTACTAGAATTATCGGTAGTTTCTTCTTTTCGAACTTCGTGTACGCGTGTTTCTGACATTTGAGTGTTGAGGCTTTTCGAGCGGCACATTTTGGCGAAATGATTATTTCCGTGACACTTAATTGCGACATGTTTGTCCAAACGCTGGGCATTGTTTTGGTGCATGATTTGAGCCACAACGCGAACAAACTGTGTTTTGCTGACATTTCTACTTGGTTTCGTTTCTTCCCTCTGGTATTTACGGCGAGAGGTTCTTTCACTTCTTTCAAAATTCTTGTGAATTGATTCTACTTCGAGCGAAGGACTATTTAGCCTTAATTTGTACTTGGGTTTTGCTTGTTTCTGCGGCTCTAACGATGCTAATCGCCTTTTCCAACGTGAGGTCGTTGTCTCGGAGCAAACGCTCTCTGACCCTCGATTCCGCAAACGATTCTATCTTTAATTAAGGGACCGGTCATTATTTATGGTGGGGGGTGGCATATTTATGGTGGGGGGTAAGCTAAATTTTGAGTAAGTAAAAGGTTGGGTAAATGAAAAACAAAACAACTCAAGGGTTGGGTAATAAAAAAATATTGTCATTTCCAAAGCATGACTCGCTGAAGTATTGGAGACTAAAAAGTAATGGCAACAGTAGCTAGCCCTACTCTGGGGTGATAATGAGATAATGTGAGTTTAAGCAATTTTAGGTGATTTAATCAAAATCTGCAATTTTTAAGCGATGCGCATGCAAGTTTGAGCGATATAGGGTTATTTAAGAAAACAATTAAAATTTTAGGGAATGCTGTTTTAGGTGTTTAGAGGTAATTTCAGGAATATACAACTATATCCCTGATGACTCCAATGAAATTACCATTAACCTATGCCAAGCATCCAAACATGAGTGTTCCCACAAACACACACACATGCAGTGTATGAAGCAAAATATACAATTTGACAAGAAAAGTTTAAGTCTGCTTGAGGGGGTTCTGGAAACAAACAATACACTGTATGCACATGACGATCAAGTGTTTAAAGGGTAAATATGCTCAATATTCATGACTTTTTTCATCCATTGTCTATTTCGAAGCTATTGGAGTATTATTAAATTCATGACACAACTATAATACATGACCACATCATATGCAATTGCCAACAATTTTCAAAGGAGTAGGGTACAGAATTGCAATATAGCAACATCTAAGTAAATTATACATGTCATGAACTTACCAGTTTGTGTTGAGTTAAATTTTAAAATTTTTACGACATCAAATATTATTTATTTATTTGCAAATCAAAACATTTTAAAATTCTCGTGTTTTGTATTGTGCCCGCGATATATTAATGGTATTAACCGCCGTGAATATGATATACATTTTTAATACATTTAAATTTCACCCTGTTTACATTTAATATATTTGCGCTCAAAAGTTCAGGAAGTGAGTTTCTAGAAAGGATGAAAACTCCATTTTATGTATGGTATGTAAAAGGTAATTGTTGTTTACTGTTTATTTTGTATTCAGGTATGGGGAATTTAAGCGATGAGAGTTGCAAAACTTGCAAATGTAGTCTGACTAGTCTCTTTGACGTCATCATGCAACTATTTAATATTGTGCTACATTCATTATTCAATTTATTCACAGCAATTAGCCTTTTATAAACCATACAAATGATTATAGCTTGTGGCCCACCTTGCCTTTAACATTGACCTTATATAATGAATTAATATAACTAACTTGATTATGTTGCTAGTCGAGTATGGGATTGGGACCTATGGGTCTTTTAGATCCTAGAGTAGCACAATTGATATAAAGTATCCATAAGGCGGTAATATTAAAGACTGTTCTTATTTATGCATGACCTTTGACTATTAAGTGGCCGAAAATTGTGCCTACAGTAGTCAACTTAATCCACTATCCAGGTTGCATCATTTTGATTATATATATATATATATATATATATATATATATATATATATATATATATACTTTCCTGTTGCCGATTTAATTATTATGCGTTTAGGCAGTTTTAGGAGGTTACTAAGAGAACTTTGGTCAATTTTGACCAGCGATTTAAGGCAAGTTACCACCCCAGAGTAGGCTGTCATATGTCAATACAATATGTGAATCAATCTCTTGATCAATATCCGATGGGATCTCCAAAGAAAGTACATGTGCAGACAACATGAAACTTTAGACTGCAGAAAATTTCACAATCCGTTATCAAACTTATGTCACAAAAGTGGTAAAGGACATATGTGACAACTGAATGGTACATTTTGTAAATTTTTTGGCCAGGGGTGGGTATTTATTTTTTAATTGATATTTGAGGTTGGGTAATAATTTTTTTTTACTTTTTAATGGTTGGGTCAGCAAAATGTTTGCCAGGAAAAATATTTCTCTTCGGTGCCACCCCCCGCCATAAATAATGACCGGTCCCTAAGCTGTCCTGTAGTGATTCAAATTCACAGGTCTTTGCTTTCAGGTTGCGAAGGTCAAGTATAAATGCATCGAGTTTTCTTCCGTTTTGTACACACGTATTAAATATATATATATATATATATATATATATATATATATATATATATATATATATATATATATATATATATATATATATATATATATATATATATATATATATATATATATGTATACATATATATATATATATATATATATATATATATATATATATATATATATATATATATATATATATATATATATATATATATATATATATATATATATAGATATATCGCTCGTATGTCGTGTTTTTCCTTGGTGTACAGTAGCTCTCAAATTTCTGAATGAGCGGCGCGATCTTATCTTGCTCAGTTTCAGTAAAGGTGAAAGTATCATAGATTTCCAATGCCTCTTCTCTGATTGTGTGAAGGAAAATTGCACACTGAGTCTCTTCGTTTTTTTTCGTCGGCTCCACTAGATTTCGCGTAAATATTCCAGTGTTGTCTCCATTTCCTCCAGTTTTCTGCCACATTTCCGTCCATTTTTAACGGACCCATAGGCTTCATATGTTCCATGATTGTAGTTTCTCCTGACACCATGTAACAGACAGTTAGTCGAGGACCTGTATATGAGTTTGTATGCATTTCATTTAGGACAGATAATCTCAACTGTTTTAGGGCAAGTTGACCATGACGGTCAACATGGTAACGCTGCCCGAACTCCAATCCCGGACGAAATGTCCGAAACTGACCACACCCAAAAACGACGCATTCGCCATACTGCTATCTACCAAACCATAAAAGCTTTGGCTATTCTGAGGTGCTTATATGGTTCAGAGATGGTACTTTTGATATAGCTTATGGAATTGCTGTTGAATGGTCCGAGGAGAAAATAAGACCAAAGAAGATTCCAACATCGTCCCCAGGTATCGGCTAGAATTTTACACCACAAATTTTGCGGTGTAATAAATTAAGACCACTTAACTTAAATGCGTGAAATTGATTTGTTCTTCAAAATTTCCTGTACTTGCGTCTCCAGGACAAGGTAAATTTTATATATTTTTAATCCTCGAGAAATAAGCTATCGGAAAATGTTTGAATCAAGTTTATACGATCAGAAATTTAGAAGTTAGGAGTCAATTCGGCAGCCGCTTGACTAAAATTTACTATTGTTTACAACATGACAACAATATAGTCTAGGACCTGTATAGGAGTTTGTATGCGTTTTATTTACCACAGGTAATCTCAATTGTTTTAGGGTAAAATGACCAAAGCGGTCAACATGGCATATGTGCCAAAACCTGAATCCGGGACGAAAGTCCTGAAAATCAGGGCCTTTTTTAAGGATTTTCCCGTGGGGGGAGGCATTTTTTGAAAAGGGACCTTTCTGTGAGATATTATATTAGAGGGGGATAGCAACGGCTGAAGGTCACATGTCTGGCCAATATACCACGCATGAATGGGGGGAGGTCTGTGGGTGTACTCCCCAGAAAATGTTTGAAATTTGAATCCCGGAAATGTCATTTCCTGCATTCTGAGCATCCAAATTTGCTCTAAAATTTATGCTAACTATACTTGTATTTGAAATAAAAGAAGGAAAAAATGCACAAAAAGTAAAAAAGAATATTAACCATAATTTATCATTTCTTATTAGAGGGATAATCCCCAGAAAATTATTGAAATTTGAAACCCGGAAATGCTATTTCCTGCATTCTGAGCATCCAAAAAATAAAATTTAAAAAAAATTATTACCAATAATTTATCATTACTTAGTGGTAGAAAAACGTAACAATTTAAATCGATTTTGTTAAACAAGGACAAAGGATAAAGCCTAATAAAACTTACTTTCCGTTTATCCCCGAGCAGACGGCGCGAAGCGCCGTGCGAGGGTACTAATTCCCCCCGGCTATTTACACCCGGGGAAACGAAAGCATTAGGGAAGTCTAAAGTTCATCAATTATCGCGGGCGTGGGTGACCAACGATGGGTGGTCATCCTCGCTGATCTCAAGAATATGGCGGACTGTCATGAATAGCGGACACTGATTGGTCCAATTTAAAGTTTGCATTATAACTACTGCATGACGACAGCGAAATAGCAAACATTTCTTGATTTGATCAAAGATTTGCTGCTTGATAAATTTGGCTTGCAAATATTTTTCACTTTTGCTCGCATTTTTGCAAGATTTTGCAAATTTCAAGAAAGAAAGGGCGAAAGAATCGGCTAAAAGAAGGGAGCCTTTGTCAGCAAGGCGAGGGTTTCTGCATGCATGTATTTTCTAGTCTATTTGTTAATCTTCGCTGGTTTGTTTGTATAATTTTAGGAAAAAGGGACATTTCCTGGGGGGGATGTGATTTCGAGGAGGGCACAAAGGGGGACTGGGGGCATTTGCCCCCCCCCCCAGCTTGTATGTTATAAAAGGCCCTGCTGAAAATGACCCCGCCCTGAAACGACAGTGTCGACATAGCTCTAACTTCCGAAAAGCAAAAGCGACAGCCTTTCTGAAGTGCTGCTGTTTAGAAAGGTTGCTTTTAGGGGTGGTTATTGGAAGGAAAAATTTGTGTAAGTATAATATTTTACAAGAAAATGACCATGCATCACCCCAGGTAAATTGCTAATTATGCATAAAATAACTAATATGCATGGCAGAAATTAAATATCCTTATTTCCTAAAAAAAATGCCATGGGATGAAAAACTATGCTTAATTTAATATAATTATTGTAGTTTTCATAAGGATAGTCATTGTTTTCTATAAATGTAATACAGACGTTCCAACTTGACATCTCCAAAAATCGGGAGGTCTGGTAAAGGCAAGAAAACGTTGACCTCTAGTGTGACTGGGTAGAAAATTTAAACTTTCTTTCAGAAGCGCCATTTCTCAGTTGATTCCGAGACTCGTGAATACAACAACTGTAAATTTCCACCTTTCATGCGAAATATTACGAAACTTTGTCGTACAAAACACCCCTCTTGGCGAAATACCGCTTTCTAGTTTGTCGATCCGACAACCGTTTCTACCGTACGCGAACGGCTTTTACAAGGATTCTTTTAGAAAAAATAACATTTTTTCTTTTCATTCGTAAAATCGGAAGGTTTAAATATAAATTGGGAGATCGGGAGATTTGCCAAGAAATCGGGAGCCTCCCGATCAAATCGGGAGGGTTGGAACCTTTGTATAATATATTTTATTTCACTTACCCTCGACGAAAACACGATTTCAGCAATATTTTGCCGTCTTGTTTGCTTTATATCGCCGTGTCTCGCAAATAACATCCAGTTGTTGTACTTTTACATAATGGTAATGGCTAAAGAAGATTTCAACTAAGTTTCGGCAAGTTTTGAAGCAGTGCAGTGTATTCTATCTTCGATATTGTGTCCTTCGATATTTCGTCTAATATGCCGCCATTTTAAGGGACCGGTCATTATTTATGGAAGGGGGAGGGAAAAAATAAGGGGGGTCATATGTAGAAATAAATGACTAGAAGGGGGGGGGGCTATTAATTTTTTTCAAGAAAATGACGGAGGGGGGGGGGGGCAGTTAAATTTGAAGGAATTTGCTTAATAACCTGGTATCCATTTGGTTGTAAATGTTGCAACTAAATCATGGTCACTGATGTGAAATAGTCTGGATTTATCTTGTCTTGTGTGTGTGCTGTATGCAAATCAGTCTTTACGGATTGCAGACTAGTTAAATTGACAATGTATTATTACATCAGCTCTTCATGTGGTTAAATACATTTAAATTAAGCAAGTTTAACGGTAGTCTCCTATACGTAGCCTGTTCGTGGGTCCGAGGTTTTCTAGGTTAACGGCGGATGTATTATGCAGGCCACTTCCGCTGAGGGGAGTCTGTGACGTCATATCGATCAAAGGGGGTTGTTTCATGCCTTGTGATCAGTGCTTCGGTCTGGGTATTCATTCAATCATTCTGTCATTGTATGCTTTGCCTAGCTGCAGCAAGTTTAGCGCTTCGATACCTTTTCCCCATTTATATTTTCCCAATTTATATTTTTTTTAATATTCAGCGCTTTTTCACATGAAAAGGCTTGTGTCCTTCCTCCGCCCCGCCCCCAAATCACCTAGTCCCAGTCTTTTCATATGAAAAAGCGCTGAATATTAAAAAAATAGAAATAAAAATAGAAGGCCTAGGTCTAGGCTGCCTTTGTCCTTGTATTTGTAGCCCGCGTGTAGGCCCAAGGGAGCAGGCTCAAGGGAACTTGATAGTGGGCCTGCAAGCAAGGCCCGGTATTTTGTAAAACGCCCCTTTTCATAACACGCCCCATCCGCGCGTCAATTGTCACAAAAGAACCAATGACAACACCCAAATATTAACAAACAAACTCGCATTAAAATGTTGCGGGGTTTTCTCTGCTTATTCAGAACATAAACAATGTGTAAATGGCTGCGTTTTAACTCCAAAAAAAGCAAGCAACGCAGTCAGTAATTGCCAAATTTGCAAGTGCTCATTTTCAACTAAAATCGGAACAGGCAAATTAGGACGAATTTCAACAGAAAACCAGTCTCAAACTTCAAATTGTGAGGGAAGTCGTGCGACCACATTAGCATTTTATATTATGTGTGCTTCGCTGTCGCCATTGGCATTGTTATAAATAAATTGTCTCACTTATCAGATCGTGTGTGCAATTCTTGTTGGTGGCGGAAAGTACGAAATTTATTTCAGTTATTTCATTTGGTAAAGAACTCTACAAAAGAAGAGAGCGTTCAGAGTCCAGATCGTTTCGTTTCAAACGGCAATTTAATACCGTCTTCTGTTTCGCTCTCTCAGCGAAGCCTTGTAAATCGCAAAGTATTTTGAATAGGCTTACATGCAACTGCATCTCAACATCAACCAAAAGATAATTTTCTTGAGGAACATATAACGTATCAAGTCTGTTTGAAATTAATGAAACTCAAGTAAAGGTTACTATAGTTTACCCCAGTCGTAATGTTGCTATTCCAACAACTCACGACAAGCAATCCCCATTGGCATAACGGCAAAAACATCTCTTCCTTCTAGTAAATAATAAACAGTCTGTTCTTGTTCCATTTATAATCGAAAAAAGTGATCAATTTTCGAATTTTGAGCTTATCGAGAGCCTTTGTGATGAATCACTGACCTAAGTATAGAATCCAACAGCAAACAGCCAATCAGAATGCCGCGTTCGTGGGCGAACGCGGAAAGTACAAAATACCGGGCCTTGCTTGCAGGCCCACTATCAAGTTTCCTTGAGCCTGCTCCCTTGGGCTTGCACGCGGGCTACTTTCGTATCGAGCACTCTATTCGTATGATTCGACACTCAATATATTTATTGACATTCGGCTATATATATATATATATATATATATATATATATATATATATATATATATATATATATATATATATATATATATATATATATATATATATATAATAGTATTTATAAAATTACTACAGTGAAACGACGCTTATCTTGATTAAAATTACTGATGAAATGTGCAGTTCTCACAACATTCGTGAATTAACCAATCAGAGAATCGCTACTCCACGCTATTGAAAACAACAACATAAGTGAACAGAATTTGATCGCAGATTCGCGAAAATATACAGCGAAAATACAGCGACTTTT